GCGCGGCAGGGAACCGGGGGGGGGCCCCACGGAGTCTTTTCCACCGCGCGGCGGTGGGGCCCCCAAAAAGACCCCGCCGCGGGAGCCCAAAGACAAGGGCAGGCGGGTCTGAAAGGAAGGAAGCGGCAACCCGAGAAAATACTCGCCCCCGGTTTCCCGTCTGACCTTACCTTGCTGGCTGCCGGGGCTCGTCTCCGCAGCCATCCCCGCCGGGCCTCTCGCGGACTCTTCCTCCCTCCGGGTGGGGCCCGGAACGGCAAGGGGAAGAGGGGGCAGAGACGGCGACGTCGAGGGACCTACTGCAGCCGCCCAGCCGGGGAGCCGCCCGCAACACGCCCCACAGCGCCTCGCCGCGCGCGAACAGCCTGCGCCTGTTATAGGGCGGATTCCCGTCTGCGTCCACGTCAGCCGGGGAGGCAGAGGAGCCACCTGACCGTCTCCTAGCCCCGCCTGACCCCACGGCAGGAAGGTGCGCGGCAGGTGCGGAAGGGGGAGGCTGGGTTGGTGTCTAAGAAAAAATAGGCCGTGGGCACTGTTGACATCCGTTTCAACAGGGCCTGGTTCCTAAAAGGACTCGTCCCTAGCAGGAACACAACTTAAAGTGGCGAAAGGCGGTGCAAGCGAGGACTCCGCCCCCCAACAATACAAAAGGTAAATGTGCAGGGGAAAAGTGAACGTGTGCAGAGCACCTTCAATGCAAAACTCTGCTTCCCCGTTATCTAAGACTGGAGCGAAGAAGAGTTCCAGGGTAAACTGAATCCGGCCATTACTTCTTTAGAAAGTACTTGCTGAACGCTGCTTTAGAAAGTAGCTGCTGAAAACTGCTTGGACAAGCAGCGAAACGTATCAAACCAAAAGACAAGAAGTCCAGTTGCCATGACTCAACTTCCAGACAATTCCACCTGGATGACTGAGAATCTTCATCAACTAATTAATACACCATTATTTTAAGATTTTTTTTTCTAACCATATGAGCCCAAAACTGCAGGGGCTTGTCCAGGCAGCTGCCAGGAGTCAAGATTGACTTGAAGGCGCCAAAGGAAAGCATGAGCCCAAAGTGAAAAACATGACATTTTCGGTATAAATTTATACACAGTTGTAATTCATGTATGAAAAGACCCATACTGACTTGTTCCATTGTCGGTAGCACTGTTCTGAAAAATTTAAGCTGGAAAAAACTTTATAAACATACAACGTAAGACCTAAAGCAAGCATGTCCTCACAAAACTAGGAAAAAACAAAAATCTGGCCATGCCTATTGCATAATTTAGCCCTACCTCCCTTACACAGTCCTGCCTAATGTTAACTGAGGCCTTGAGCTGTTTAAAGGTGATACATAGTTTTCTTCTCTATTACGAATAGACATACCCATCAAACTGTTCTCTTTCTGAGTAAGCAGCAATATGCAAATCACAGAAAATGAGCCAAAAAAATAAAACCAAGAAATGAGAAAATACACCTAAATCTAGTTTACACTAACCTGTTCAGTTTTTTGCATCTTGCTGTCTTTGTGAGCTATCCTTCCCTCCACCACATCAAAATACAGTACTGCTTTATAACTCCTCTTCTTTAAACTTCTCACTTCTCTTTTGGAAGAGCTAATCAATACCATCTAACCATGACTTCTCAACTCATTCACTCTTACTTCATATATTTTGTGATTTGATCTTTTTTCATTCTCTCTGTATTAATGAGAAATGAGGAAATAGCCTTTACTTTCATTTTATGAAATTTAAATGCATAAAAATGCATAAAAAGAATTGATACGTTTTGTTTTGTGGTCAAATTTAGAACAGATTTTAAAGTTTTGTCTTCAGTATTTAAATGTAAAGATCTGAAGGGTTCAAGTCTTTCCCTGATATCTTAGCAGTTTGCCATACATTTTCTGAAATTAAACACTTCTAGAATGTTTTTAAAAGCTTGGATCCAAAAATCTGTTTCTGTAAGTAGAAGTTCTTTTCTTACGGATGGATGGATTCATCATTCCCACTCCCCACCTTGACACTTTCCATGGTAGCTCCTTGTGCTTTCATCCTAACATGAAGCTGCAGCAATAAAGTAAAATCTGCAAGGAACAAACGTACATGTATATAAGTAGAAGTATTTCCTTTTATGCCAGCAGGGACTCAAATGCAACCATGTACTTTTACTTAAGAGTAAATTCCACTGAGCTTAATGAGAATGTCTGTATAGTTATAGAGAGACTACACACATAATGTAAAATAATGGTTTGTTAAGTCTGAAGCCATAAACCATGACTTATAAATCACAGTTGCTGGATTCACTCTTCATGCTAAGAAAGTAAATAACATGGTTTAATATGACGTGTGAACTCAGATGTGGTCCTGTCTTTTCACTATTGTAGCCAGCCAACCAGGAACAGGAAACCAGCTTCAAACTCTAATTTCAGGCCACAGATTTTTGGGAAAGTAACAGAGCAAAAACTTAAGAAGTTCAAGGTGTTCTCATTAGCCAGAAGAGCCAAATAGAAGCAGTGAGGCAGCATTTATAACACACAGCTCCCCCTGCTGCTGCCCCCGCCTATGATGTACTGGACAGCTTCCCCACCCCACAAATCAGGTGCTGTGCTTGTGGGTGATGCATGCTAATAGAGATTGCCAGTGATCCACAGGGTAGTAGAGGTTGCCTGATAAATCAGATGAGGTAAACCAGGAAGATTTTCCTGCTTCACTGGACAGGAGGATGGGCTCTGATCCATGTTCTTGATCCTCTGCTGCTTCATCACATCCTCCTCCCCTGAACTTGTCGATTGTGGCTGACAGGCACTGGTGGGTTGATTCTCCTCACCTGCCTTTTTACTGGGAACAGTTCAGGATTACTTTTAATTGCTTCAAGTATGGTCTGGAACAAAATGAAGGGCACATTATGAGGACATAGACATGTTGATTTCAGGGTTAGGTTCAGGTAAAAAAGAGACCGTAACCCTTTGAATTTAATACAATTTCTTCTATACCTTGAGATCAGAAGCTGATTCCTACATTGTACATTTTCAGTCATACTGATAGCACTAGCTGTCACTGTCCTTATTATCTTAGGATTCATGATTATTATGATATACTTATCTCTACCTTCTGACCATCTGATTAGAAGTCCTTGGTTTCCCAGGACAAACTTGCTCTTTCCTACTGTATTTCTATGCCCTACTAGCTAAAAATGTTCTGAGCAAGTATAGATATTTACTTCCTCACCCATTGCACATTTCTTTAACCAAGCTGTATGTAGCAATGGTTAAGGTAAAGGTATTGGACTTGGCCTGGGGAGATCCAAATTCAGGTTCCCATTTGATCATGGAGCTCACTGGGTGACTTTTGCCCACTCAGTACAATATACCTGTTGTGACTGTAATCTGTAGCTCAGACACCAAAATACACATTCCCACAGTTTCACTGATACAGTCCAGATTCCTTCGAGTGAGAGCAACCCTTGGGTCATGTAGAGTCAGATTACCTCTTTGCATCTCTTTCCTGAAGACAGAAAAACTTGAACAACAACTCTGGGGAGATATCTGTAAACCCAGGATGGAAAAGAATAGATTGAAGCATACAATGAAATAATCTGGTCATGTATAAAGAAGGAATGAAGGTTGAATTGCAAAATGAATAGATGAAGAACGAGTGGTTTGAGTGGAAAAGAAAAATAATTATCATTGGATGGAGTTGATGAGATTCTGAAGGAGAGGGGGGAACTTTAAAAGACAATGTATGAATTGATATATGGATATATGGAAACAAAGATGGCTTGCATGAATAGAATGGTAAGGAGAGTTTACTAATTTTACTTAAATTTCCTTCTCATTTGCTGCTCTTAACTTTTCTTCTCTCACCATTTCTTAGTCTTTTTCTGCTCTTTAAATAATTCTGCTTAACTTGAAATGGAGTAGCATAATCAACATGAATGTATATATGCAGATACTATCACTTTAGCTGGCAACATTTTAGCTAGTTTATTGTATGAACCCAGCCCACATGGTAAATGTTGGTTCACTGTGACATGGGAACCCAGAAATTTGGTTACATGAGTGCACCATGGTTCAGTTAACCATGGGAAACCATGCTGTTGTGACATAGCTATGATGGCTTTATGCAATATGTATCTGATCTTCCTTTGTGTCAAGCACTAAATTGGAAGTTAGAGGAATAACAGGTTAAAGTTTTATTAACATAAAAAATAGCCAATTACTGCAGGAATCTATATGAATAGTGAACTTCTGAAATTGCTATATGTGTATGTGTATATATATACTGTACATACATATCAATACTGTACATACTGTATATCAATAACTATTGTTTTAGTACATTTATATAAAGCAGTCTGTGAACAATCTCCCATTAAGAAGCTGTTTTATATTCCTATAAGGTTAGTTCAGCAAAATGAAGTTTGTTTTGCTAGATGGACCCCTGAGAGTAGAAGCTAATTGTAAGAGATAAATAATAAATAAGGTCAGGGAATGATGTTCATCATCTCTAGATAGGTCCATCTACTTATTTTTCTTCATATCAAAGAGTTGCCCATAAAATTATGATGCAGAATGTACAAGAACATCACATTTCATTTATTTCCCAGCTTAATTCTATAGCAGGAAAATCACATATACATGGCTGGCGTTCATTCTCTTCTGTGTCTAATTTGATTGTCTGCTCAGGAGAGTTGTTGCCATAGCCACTTCCACATCCCTCTGCAATTGCTCTGCCTTTTAATTTAAAGGGCAAGTTGCAAACAAACCTGAGATTTCATTAAGATTTAGGCCTGAAGTATTCCTGTTGACTTCAGTGCATTGTTGTAGTATGAATCAGGGCCTCTTAGCAGCTTGTGAGGCATAGGAGAGTTTGATTCAATGTTTGCATGAAATCTATCTAATAGGAATAGTAGGCAAAATCCAGCATTGTGTGATCAGGCTTCTGTTCCTCTCTCCCACCTCCCCTGCCTTCAAGCCCCAGATCTACTCTAGAGAATCCCCAGCCCTCCAGAGAGATTTTGAAGGGCATGAAGGACTAAGGTACTGATGGATTTTTATTTTTTTTTTGTTACCTGCCATATTTTATGGGTCCAAATTCTTGATGCCTTGAATTGGGTGAAGCTCTTGTTCCAAAATGCTGCTTTGTGTTTGTTGCAGAGCGGCTCAGTTGAAAATGGACACTGCTAGAAACAGCTCTGCCTTTATCTCTATCTGCACGGGAACCATAGGTTTCTCACCAACACAAACTCAGTTTATGTAGATTTATACTGATAAATAATATGTTAAATAAACTGTTAGCTGTAAGAATTTTTTTTTTATCTGTTCAATGTGTCCAGTTCTCAAAGACTGCCTAGTCTAGTCCCTGCAGTTTTCTTGGCAAGTTTTTCAGAAGTGGTTTACCATTGCCTCCTTCCTAGGGCTGAGAGAAAGTGACTGGCCCAAGGTCACCCAACTGGCTTCATGCCTACGGCAGGACTAGAACATGGTCTCTGGGTTTCCATCCTAATGCCTTAACCACTACACCAAACTGGCTTTCAGTTATACGAATACATAATGGTGTATGGGGGGAAAAAACTACCCACAGCTACAAATTTAATAAGAGAGCTACATTCCAT